ATTGAACAGGAGTGGTGATAGTGGGCATCCTTGTCTTGTTCCTGATTTTAGCATGAAAGTTTTCAGTTTTTGACCATTTAGTATGATGCTGGCTGTTGGTTTTTCATAGATAGCCTTAATCAGGTTGCAATAAAGACCTTCTATTCCAATTTTCTGTAGGGTTTTTATCATGAATGGGTGTTGGATTTTGTCAAATGCTTTTTTTCTGCATCTGTTGAGATGATCATATGGTTTTTGTCCTTGACTCTGTTAATATAGTGTATTACATTTATTGATTTACAAATGTTGAACCATCCTTGTCCCTGCAATAAATCTGACTTGGTCAGGGTGTATGATCTTCTTGATGACCCTCTGTATCTGTTTGCCAGTATCTTTTTTTTTTTGATTACTAATCACGTATTGAAAGCAGTAAGAGGTTCCACAACACCAAATAAACCAGTTCTGAAGTTTCCCCAAGATAAATTTAACTGCTCCAGTTTCTTCAGTGTTTATCAAAATACAAAAGAAAAAAGTAGAGGTCATCTTTTCTGATGGCAAATCAACCCTTACGGGCCGAGGGAGGAAGCTATTTCACACATGGAGGTGGGGGTGCTCCAGGACTGTGGTCTGGAATGGACCGACCGACCCAGCTTGCAGGCGCTCCTGCTGGTGAGACCCAGACTGGCCAACTTGTCTGAATGGGCACTGAGGACAGGGGCTGCCACTCCAGCTGCACCAGGCAAGGGTGAGGCTGGTCCCCATGCCCCCATCACAGCCCTCCCAGCCCACCCTGAGGGGACCGTGTGAACATGAGTACAAGCATGGTGTGGAATGCAGGTGAACCAAAGACAGGCAGGCCACAGAGTCTCTACTTTGACCATGCAGTGGATGGCATTTGTTCGTCATGTCTTGTGTGTCCAGTGCAACAGCCGATCTGATGACTAGTGTTCAGGCAGAACTGCAAAACCTACTCTAGGCATAGTCTCCTGTGTGTTCAAGTGTTCTCCTTATCTTGTAATTTTTAACTATTTTTAAAAATGCACTAAGTTTGGGTTAAAAACTGAATGAATCTTGATACCAATCTACACACAGCCCAGTGGCTCCTGGAGGCCAGGTGCCTATGCACCCAAATCCCTTCTCAGTACGGACAGTGAGTTGATTCTTTTCTTTTCTTACAACAAGAAAGCTGAGTAACATTGCATAGGAGTACTAGAAACTGCCTCAGTAGAAACAGAAACTATTTACATTAAATAAAAACCTGGCTGCAGGCTGCATCTGCACATGTGCAGCACAGTGCGTGCACACTGACCAATCCATGGAAGCAGCTTCTGGCACTCGGGACCACAGAGTTGCATGTTTGCCACATGAGAGGAAAGTGGAGGGCGGAGAGGAGGAAGTGAGGGGAAGGGGGTTCTGGCTCACTTCTGGTTCTGGAGCTGATTGGACAGCCAGTCCAGTCCTTCATAGAGCCCATCCCCACTGGTGGCACAGGTGGCCTGAATGTACCAGTTCCTGTGGCGTAGAGAGTGCAGCCCCAGCTTGTCTGTGATTTCAGCTGCGTTCATCGCGTTGGGGAGGTCCTGGGGAAAAGGATGGGTCGGTGCCAAGGCCCACCTCGGGCCTGTCCCTAGGCCCCTCTCCCTCCCCGTCCCTCCCCAGCATGGACCGCCCTGGGAGGAGCTTGCTGGTGCCTACCTGCTTGTTGGCAAACACGAGGAGGACAGCATCCCGGAGCTCATCCTCAGCCAACATCCTCATGAGCTCCTCACGGGCCTCGTTCACACGCTCTCTGTCATTGCTGTCCACCACAAAGATCAAGCCTGCAACACAGCCAGGACTATGGCAAATGCTGAAAGCGGCCCACCCAGCCACACCCACAAGCCATGGACCCAAGCCCAAGGGTCCCAGCTGGATGGACCTCTGGGCCTTGGGCCTAGGAGAGACTGGGTCCCTGAGGACAGAGACGGGAGGAACCTGGCATGAGGGCTGGCCGCTCACCTTGGGTGTTCTGGAAGTAGTGGCGCCACAGAGGCCGGATCTTGTCCTGGCCACCCACATCCCACACGGTAAAGCTGATATTCTTGTATTCGACGGTCTCAACATTGAAACCTGGGGATAGTATTGCAGCTGAGGGCCCTCTGCACCCAGGAGCCACCACCAGCCCGCCCCCGGCCCCGGCTCCGGCCTGGCTTCTCACCTATGGTAGGAATGGTGGTCACAATTTCACCGAGCTTTAGTTTATAAAGAATCGTCGTCTTCCCGGCAGCATCCAGGCCCACCATGAGAATTCGCATTTCTTTTTTGCCAAAGAGGCCCTTGAAGAGGTTCGCAAAGATATTCCCCATCCTTGTGGATTCTTGGACGTGACACTGGCCAGAGACCTGGGGAGGCAAGGTATCCTGGGCCTGTTTCCACACTGCTATCGCAGGTCAAGATCAACCCACCCAGGGATTCCATCTCCTCTCATCCCTCCTGGAATCCCACGGGGAGGATATGTCATTATCCTGTTTCCAGGATGACAGAGAAACAACCTGCCCACCTGGACAGTTAGGCCCCACAACCAATGCATGCAGCTGGTCCTTCCTGTCCAAGTCCATTCACCCTGATGCCAACAAGCTACAGGATATCTGCACAGCCACACTCAGAGAGCAGGCAAGCTACTGTCTCGAAGTCCTGCTTTCGGAGGCACGTGACATCTCTACAGTCAAACATGTCAGTACAGAAGGGCCCATCCACCTATGTGTCTTCCCACTATACCAGCACATGATGGCAAACAGCGACTACAGGGGGGCTAGGACCACCCCACCTCCCCCCGCCACTGCCAGAGAGGCAGTCACACTGTGGTCTCGACCATGGGCCAAGTCGCTCTGCAGCAGCATACCCCAGGACAAGCCCAGGAAGCACTGTGGCATCACCTGGTGGGCAAGTCAGGTGGGCTCCTCTGCCAGTTCAGCTTGTGGCTACCACCCAAGAAGCAGTGGTTAAGACAGTGTCTTGTCCATCTCAGGTGACCTGGACAGCTGGCACCCTACAAGGTGACCACAGTAAATCCTAGCAGCACACTTTGAGGACATGCACACAGGAGGACAGGCTCTTGCAAGGACACATTTTGTGTCTGACGCACAATGTGACAACAGGGTCCACTTGCAGAACAGAAAGCTGGTGGAACCAATGAAGCCTGCAGGAGCAAATTACTGGAGCTCTGCCTGAGACTGGAGGACACAAGCTTTCCAGGCCCTGGCCTCACCACCTTGGGCACTTTGGCCCTCAGTTGTTTCTAGTCCAGAGACCATCACTTTCTCAAATGTTAACTGCTAGAAAATTAGATACCAGCAGCATCTAAAAAGTAAAAGTAAGCAATGGGGCATTGTGCAGTCTTCAAAACCAAAGAGATGCATCTGTGTGTAACCACAGGAAGGATGAACAAGCACGGTGCAAGTTAGGGTGACAAATCTTTCTGTCTTGTCCCTTTACAGCACAATCACAGGCTGGGTGGCTTATCAACAGATGTTTACTGCCACAGTCCTACAGGCTGCAAGTTCAAGATCAAGGCCTAGCAGAGTACTCAGGAGGGGAGGAATGTGGTGTTCTCCTGTGGTGGAGGAGCAGGAGAACAATTCCACTGCCAAAGCTCCTTTCGTGGTGGTCCTAACCCATTTGTAAGGAGCCTTGTGACCTAAACAACTGCCCAACACTGCACACTGGGCTCCAATTTCCCACTGACTCATCCAAATCTTGGAGACACACAGAGACCACAACACTGTGAACAGGCACATGGGAAGCCACTGTGCTTCACACAACTGTGCAGTCACCCCTGGATGGTGATCCTCGTGCAGCTCTGCAGGCAGGAAGCTGGAACTCTCAGGACATAGGCTGTGAATGAGGTCCCGCTGCACCAAAGATGTGGGTGGGCACACAGAAATTCCCAGGACACCTGGCAGATGCACACAGCAGCAACCTGAGGCCTCTGTGCAAGGGATCAACGATTCAGCATCCAGAAGTCCCCACACCAGACCTGTATTCTCTCCATGCAAGATGGGGGACAGACTATTTAAAAAGGGAAAACGAGGCTGGGGATGTGGCTCAGGTGATAGAATACTTGTCTATACATAAGGTCCTGGGTTCAACCCCCCCACCTACCCAAAGAAAAGGAAAAATAAAAAAATCCACATGCAACACTAACACAAACTGGTTAAAAGATACTACGTACACAAAACAACAGGATACTGGAACAAAGGGAATGAACCAGGAGACTGCAGTTCTACCCAGAGGCAAAGTGAAAAGCTCAAAATGAGGGTGCTCAGGAGAATGAAGAGAGGAGTGGATAAAAAAAGAAAATGAGGAGCAACTTGGAGATCAACATCAGACTAGCAGAAACCCCTAAAGAAGTACTTGGAAAACTGCAGAAGACTGACATGTTCCAGATGGAACACATGGCTAAGGGCTAAGGCCTGCTTGCTGCCAAGGCAGCACCAGTGGATGAAAACGCTCAGGCAATGGTCCTGAAATTCTGAGGCAGTGACTCTCAATCTTCAATCGTACCCGCTGGGTAGGTGGGAAGGACGCCATCACAAGGCCTGCCACAGGAGCCTCACGGATGTTGGACTTGGTGTGAGGAAGGGAGTCCAGGTAACAGACAAGAAACAGCTGCCAGATAACCTATTCAGACTGCAGTGGGGGGCAGACCCCTCAGAGCGAAGAAGGCACCACCTGCTTCTGTCATGGAGCCTGGTGATGCTGGGGAACTGGGTAAGACTAGTAGGTACACATAGAAACCAAGACCGAATCACACACATGCATGCGCAGAGGGAGAGATCCTCTCGTATTTCAATCCAAAATCCAGAAGCAGGAGGCAGAAACGTGCAGCAAAGGCCATCCTCAAGGTCCAAATGAACATAATCCAAAGCAGATATCAGAGGAGAAATTAAGCCACATGCTCAGTGGTGCCCAGCACTGGGCCTGGGAGGCAGGTGCCACCAGGACCGCTCCTGGCACGGACACAAACATGCAGCACCAAGGGGAAAAAGAGTATCATGCTCTGCCAGCCCCCACAAAACATTTCCCAGGTAACCATGTGTAGCAGTGCAGATCTAACTCTGGTTTTTGCCTGCATGTGGTGGCACAAACAAACCACTGCCCACAGCCCATACACATCCACTGCCACCTTCTTGTACCTGGCCCAGTACAGCAAGACTGCCCAGAGCCAAACGCTGTGCCTGGCCGGCCTTGCAGCAGCCCCAGTCAGAGGCTGTGAGGCCCATGGGGTCATAGCCCAACCCTCACTGGACAGTTTTAACAGGTCCTAGTGGTAGAGCACCTAGAAGGGGAAGCAGTCATATAATTTAGCGGGGTAAGCCAGAAATCTCAAGTTTAAGACATATCCCACAAGCACCTAGGACTACACTGCCATCTACACAGGCAGATGATGGTCAGCACTTCCTGCCAAGGCATGTCCCAGTGTCCCCAGACTCCCAGCAGTGTCTGCTGTTTCTATAAACAGGCCTAATTTTGGTTTATGTGCTGCCAAAGTGAGCACCTGTCAAAAGGCCCAAACCCAAGAGTCTCTGCAGTAGGAGAAGGGTCCCGGGGCCACCAGTCACTGCCAAGGTCTCAGGGCAGGGGTCTCCCCTGCTTAATACCCAGCCCAGCCAGGTGCCGCCACCATTCATCCACCAGAATCCCTCCACCCCCACCCCACATGCCAAACTAGCTTTTTAGGTTCCTCTAAATTACCCTGTGTTTAGTAAGCAGTGACAAGACTTTCCAGAGTTCCAGGAAGGAAGATGTTTATCAGGGCAAGAGTAGTTCAGGCTGTTTCTCTTTCTTGCCAGACTATACAGGCTCCACCTTCAACAAGAAAGGTCCCTCAGAATGTGCTCTTGGTGAGGCCCAGAGGACAATGTTCTGAATGGTCTCTATTCTGGGGACACAACACCTGTTCCACATCAACTGAGTAAATGCAACCCGACTCGTTTAGCTGCTGAAGAGACCACCTAGCAGCCAGTCAGCCAGCACCTTCCCGTCTCCCTGCAAATCTCAGGGATGCCTCAGAACAAGCCAGGCAGCCTTTCACCCAAACTACACCACAAACCATGCAGAGCAATGGCTCATATAGGAAGTTTACCACTTTCCTCAAACTGTCAGCACCAGTTTGACAGAATCTCACTGGGAAGATAGGGACCTCCACTGGAGCACACAACAAATGGGTGCTGTGGATCCAGGTTCTGTCCTCAGCTGCTGACCCAACAGGGCACTCTGCTGGTGAACAGGACTCATACTAGCTGATGTACCTGAATGGAAGACTGGTGATGTGAGTTTTGCTTTCATTAAAGTCAAATTCATAGGGCCAGGGATTTAGCTCAGTGCTGCCGCTGCCTGCCTCGCAAACACAAGGTCCCCGGAGTTCAATCCCCAGTACCAAAAAAAAAAAAGACAGATAAAGTCAAATTCATTGCAGTATCAATTACATATAGTAAAAGGCATCAGTCAACAGTTAATAATCTCAACTTTCCTACCTAATTTGAGGAAAATCAACAAAGATTTTTCTGGAGGAACTTTATGTACATTTTAAAATATTTTCTTTTCTTCTTTCTTTTTGGTACTGGGGATCACACTCGGGACCTTGCGCTTTCAAGGCAGGCAGCGGAACTACTGCACTAAATCCTGGGCCCTAAAACATTTCCTTTAGGTGTCTGCAAAGAGCTATCGTGTTCCAACAGTGATACATGTGTGCACGTTATCAGTTATGTGAAAGCCTGATTTATCTACAACACAGGAGGACTCTAATTCAAAGAAGGCTCTTCCACTTTCATGTGCAACACAGCCATGTGTTTTCCTCTGCACATACTGTTTTTTGCACCAAGACAGGTCCGAGCACATCTGTTCCTAAAGCCTTGGGCCATTGCATGCCCTCAGCCAAACATTCCAGTGTCTGTCTGTCTCTCTGTCTGTCTCAGACAGGATCTCACTGGAATTCAGGCTGGCCTTGAGTCTGGGGTGATCCTCCTGCTTCCATTTCCCAAAGTCCTGGGATTACAGGTGTGTACTACCAGCCCGGTCTGACATTTCTTCTGATCAAGTGCTGCACTGCATTTTGTCACTATTTCATAAAATTTATCTAAGAAGAATAAGGAAGTGCTGATTCTAGGGAAAAGAAGACATATCCTGCAGGATCCTCATTCAATTAGCACACTCAGGGAAGGACAAACAACCATCTAGTCCGGTCAAATGAAGTTTCAATCATGGAGAAAAGAAGCCTGACAAAAAAATATGCAGAAGCACTCTAGAACTACACTTTCAGGGTGTTTGCAGGAACTTATCCAGCGCCTTTGAAGGACAGTCTATGCAGGGATCCCTGGCCACCAGAGGTGCAGGCCTGGAC